ACCTCCTCCTCCTCCCCTCCCCTCTCAGCCGCCCCCGATACATCCCTCCACTCCAGTGTTGGTGGTTGAATCGCATGCAGTCCCGGGGACAGGCAGGCGTGTTTATATGCAGGCCTGGAGCACAGAAGACAGCGCAGAGACAGATGCATGTCAGAGATAGCAGATCCCATCTGAGGCAGATGCCTCTTATCGCAGGCCTGTTTGCATAATTAGGCCTTTTGATATTCACCCCCTCTGACTGACAAAAAGTATAATTGAAGTATCAAGTACGACAAAAGGTAGGCACAAAATAAACAAGTCAACACAAACAGGGAGAAAAGACGTGGTGTTATTTTTGTCCTGTGGGGGGAAAAAAAGGAGGAGGAAAAAACAGCATTTTGAACTAAATCTGCTGTCAGTCACAGTCAACTGGTGTGACTCGGTGCGCAGAGGCTGGTCCTGTGAATGCCTGCAAAACACAGAGCGTGAGGCCCGATTGTAATTATGCTGGAACTAATATGCTTTTCAAAATGAGCCATTATGAGCTAATGCTTCACTGCCAAAGCCCTGTCTGTTTTTGTCCCTCTGCCTTGGATAGTTTGCAAAGGTATCGCTGATATTGAGGCCGTGGGTTCTGATGTTAAAGAAAGCTTGCGATGGGAGCTGCTTTACTTGAGTTTTCTGCAGGTGAGATAGAGACGAGGGATTCGAAGCACCTGCACTGATGTAAAACAGTGATTCATTTTCACTTTCCTGACAGTTTTTTCAAAGCTTTTCCTTTCTTTTTACTCTTGACTAACAGTGTTGCACAACAGTTTTACTATGTTATATCATATTTTAAGTACATTTTATTGCTATTTTTGTCCATCTAACACATGTTATGTGCGACTTTTGTTGCCATTATTGCTTGTAAATAAAGCTGGCTACTTATTGTTTGCAGTAATTTAGCCAATGTGTTTCAGCCGCCTGCAGACATGATGTTTACTGGTGTTGTTACGTATCATAAACCTGCACCTTTACAGATTGCTGGTGATTTGCCATATTGAGTGGACAGCTGTCCATTTAATTAGCATTGTTTCAGCATTTCATTGGTTAAGGTGGAGGGGTTTGGGGGTGGTGGGGGTGGTCCACATGATGGGTGGTTTTGGAGAAGAGATTGTGTGATGAGGATCCCATCTGCCTGAGGTCTGTCTGAAAGGTCAGCAAAGGAGCAAGAGGGGAGATAAAGGCCTTTAAACCTCACAGCAACCACAAAATTATTAACTGGCAGAACAGGTTCTTCAAGAGCAAGAATTGTGTTTTATCCAAAAGGTCTGGTCAGATTTAAAGTGTCATAAAAGCAGAACCCCAGCAGGGTGAAGTGATGTGCTTTCAGAGTTCGTTTACAATATGGATTTCTGCAATTAAATAGTCAGCTCCTTGTTTTTGTCAGCGCAGCATTTAACTTTTTTAAAAATATTATTGAATATTCACTGTTTTGTTCATAACTTTTATTATTTTTATTTTCTACAAAGCAAATTTGTCGGGTTCCATGTTCAGCATCATTAACTTTCAACATGGGATCATAAGGACATATAACTCAGCTCTCTGTGCTGTAGAGAATATGGAGTGGTCTGTTTTTCTGCTGAAGCTGGTCCCTATTTTATTCCTGCATTCTGATTCCAAGCAGGCTCACTATTCTCCAACATTTCAATGCACAAAGGAAATGAAGGAGGAAAAAAGCAAAGCTTATCACATCTGGAAGTTATCTGAAACTAATTGTAAAAGGTTGTGAAACATCTCCAGAAGCTAAACAAACTATTTTTGTTCTCTCTGTTTTTTTTTCAAAGAAATATGTTTCTTCAATTTTTTTTTATTTACAGACGTTTTCTGTCAGTTCCTATTAGTAAAATGAGGATTAAACAGTTTACAATTAAAGTACATAGAAAATTATGTGTGCAGAGATTACAATTACCCTTCTGTTCTGAAACATTTAGATTTGGTCAGCTGAATATTTAAACTTTTCTGTAACTAAATGATATATTTCAGAAGGCATGAGGTAATAAAATGGGGATTAAGTAACTTTTCCTTACACTGCCTCTGGTGTTATTTTTTTTATTTAAAGCCTAATCTGACATTTACCTTGACAAAAGCAGAGTGTAAACCTGATTAATTCCTATTTATAATGGCCACAATTTTAAATCAATATTAAGGTAAAACCTTGGAGGGCCCCTGAAGGAGGGTACACAGCACTAATTGTGCCCAGTGGATGGTGCATAATTAGATTCTAATTGGACAATAAGTAATGAGACAAGGCATGAATGGTTTATCCATATCTTGTGAACCTTTGAATAAAGATTACAGCAGTCGAATTATGCAAAGGTCTAATCAGAATTTACCTTTTTTGTGCCCAGCGGAGCAGTGWAAAACCTTAACAGTCCTGCAGGGATTTCATTCAGACCTGTTTAGTCTTTTGTTGTTCGGTAAATTTGCAGAAAACAACCTTAATGGTGGTTTTTGCTGATTGCAGCTTCCGTCTCAGGTTCTGTCTTGYATCTACGAGGAAAGCAGCTGTGTGGTTTTTTTTTTTCGAGAAATGTTCATTGCGCTTTAAATATAGCCAGCATATGGATGAGTTTTACGTCCAACCTCGGTCTCATTCGCCTGCGTTCAGCATGTGTCGCGTTCCATTTTCCCTTACTCATTACAGGCAGCGCCGTTGACCTTGCGCCTCCGCTTCATGTACAAGAGCAGATGTGTTGGCTCCGCAGGATTACCGGCGAGCAGCGGTACGAGCCATTGTCTGCTGAGGTTTATCAGTCATTAGCTTGTGGCATGCTAAATGTGACACAAATTGCCACAGAGGTTTACTGGCGAAATAAAGTCGACGCGTGCGCCTTGAACAAAAAAAGGGAGAGGACAAGAAAACGATTTGAGGAGGAGAAGCGTTTCGCTCAGAAACCCCGACGAGCATGTGTCGACTCTGACCCCAACGCCTCCCTGTGGGGACACAGAGGTGACTTTGGGAAATGATCTGCAGGCTGCCGGGCTGGTCTCAAGTGTCGTCACGGCGAGTTACAGAGTGAAACGGCTATACGCATCCTCATGAAAACCAACAAAGGGATATGTGGTGTATGTACATATTCAACTTTGTGTGTTCAAGGGTGTTTCGACAGCAGAGCGAGCTTGTGCTTCAAGAATCAATCTTTATTAAAAAGGATAAGACTGAAGAATTGATTTAATGAATGCGGCCTCATGTCCTGCAGCCACATGTAATCCGCGCAGAATCGTTGAGCACGAGCTCAGGGGGACAAAAAAATGTTCGCAGAAGACTCATGGAGTGGCCTGTAATGATAGTCTCCATATAATCCCATAATTCCTTGTTTAATTAAACTCTGGAGCTGGCCTTGAGACTCCGCCAGCTCTGTTGCTCTTTTGTTCTCACAGTTGTTATTTGGAGGCAAGGTCTGAGTGTTCTTTTGTCCACTTATGAGGAAAGATTCGACTGGAGTGAAACGCAAACACTGTTGGCAGCGGTGAAACAAAGAGTTCAGGGGGGTGGGGGRGAGCTGAGCCGTTCAGGTGAGTGTTTTCACCCGAGCTGGATGGCAAAAGGGCCTCTGTCAGGAACGGAAATCTCTTCATGCACCCTCTTCTTCACTACCTCCCTTTATTTCCCTTCTCCCACACTTTCTGGACTGTGCGTGATGCAATCCAACTAGGCCCGCAGCAACACTGGCACATCACTCTGCCTTGTCAATGTCTCAATGAAGAAATTATGAAAATAAGAATTTTGTGACATGAAATGAAAAGGGCCATGTAGTTTGAATAGACATGCAGAGGAGGTGAAAATGATGCAATTTTCTAAATTCAGTTATAATGGTAATGTGCAATGGTAATGCGTATTTGCTGTCAAAAATTTCCCTGTCGGCCTGGATTGTACAGCTTTGTGCTGTATCTATGTTCCTCGAGCAAAAATTCAGCTTAGTTGAATGCCTAAAAAGTAAAGCGAAATATGCTCTAATTCATTCAGTGACAGCAGGTGGAAACACATGGGACTGAATGGTTTTGGTGTGATATTGTGCTTAGATTTATACACTTTGGCTGAGCTGYGTATGAGCTGTGCGCCTTGGGCCAATGACAGAGAGAAAGCAGGGTGAGGAGCAGCAAGGTGGCCTCTGCAGATTAACCCCTCTACCAGCTATCACCCCTCTCCTCCTGGGCTCTCAGCCTCCACAGCCTTTGAGGCCCCTCGCTCAGGCAGGATTGTATACCAGGGCCTCTTCTATATTAAATAAATATCCACAGATTAAGATAATATTCTCACAGTTGGGCATTCAGAGATGAGTGACTGTCATTTGAATCCTCTCTGATGCAAGCCCTGCACTCCTGAGTGKAAAAAAAGGCCGTTTTGAAATACAGATAACACTGTCGTGTCMAACAAACTGTTTCTATACACAAAGCGCTTTCAAACTAGCCTTTAATTGCACAATCTGCCTCTTTCGTTTGATGGCAGGTAACCGCACGGACGAGGGTTCAGATGTAGATTCGGAGCCCGATCTGCCCCTGAAGAGGAAGCAGAGGCGCAGCCGCACCACCTTCACCGCCGAGCAGCTGGAGGAGCTGGAGAAGGCTTTCGAAAGGACGCATTACCCAGATATCTACACCAGAGAGGAGCTGGCTCAGAGGACAAAACTCACAGAAGCAAGAGTACAGGTTAGACACACAAATTAAAACACACCCACAAATTTTTTTCATCTTCACTTGTGTGGTTTTTAGTTTTTCTGTTGTTAAAGGTAGCATTTGCTGCATGACCAGTTTCACCTGTTCCCCCATGTTTGCCTTGTATGTCTTCTTGAATGGGTGTTCCTGAACTGCCCCCTCCCCCCTCCCTTAATGTACAGCACCTTGTGAATTCATTTCTGTGAAAGGCGCTGTATAAATAAAACTTTACTTACTTACTTACATTTAATACATTTCTCTGGTTGTGGCTAGAAATTTGTTGACTCCTCACATGTTTCTTACAGAATGAAATCATTCTGTATTGTTTGTGTTTTACTCCTCTGTAATAAGAATGTACTGTAGGTGCATATAAAACTTCATCTCACTCCACTAATGTGCAGTGTTCACGTGTTTCAGAAAATACAAAATACCACTATTCTCTTAGCATCTTTCACCAAAAAGGTGAACAAAGTTTTCTCTTCTTTTAACCTCAACAATATATTCATCAGTCAGGACCATATTTCCCTTTTTTTTTATCATATTTCACTGTGAAATGCAAGGGAGTTTGCAGCACGATGTTATCCTTCATGTTCAAGAACTTTGACAGAGACACTTCCTCACTTCACACCCCAGGCCGACAGCCTGAGCTCCCTACAGTTGTGTGCGAGATTGAAGGAAGATGTGTACAGTAGATTTACAGCAGCAGCTGCTCTTCCAAAGATGGGAAGTGAGGGAGGGAGGGAGGGGGGGGAAGGAGGAGAGGAGAGAAAGGGAATGCATTCCTGATGGATTTCTCATTTCGGCCTTTGGCCAGGATCTCATCCCAGCACTTTCAAGCTCGCCGCTGCTTGTAAAACCTTCCACATATCACACAGAGTTCTTCATCCTCTCTAGGGACCTCATGCCCCGACAACAACATTAATCAATCAGCCGCTAGTAAAAAAAAAAAAAGTCGGGGGCACCCCTCTCTTCTTACCACAGTCGTTCACACTCACTCTAAAACCGCCCAGACTTCTCACCGCATGCTAACTGTTCATCACAGTTTGGGTAACCGATTCCACACATGTCACTGTCCATCTTAAAACCCCCCAACATGCATATCCAATATTTCTGAGGGAAGAGGGAGAAAAAATATACATTCAACTTGCTTGTTTCCCATTAGCTTGTGTAAGAAATACATGCTGTAAAAAAAGGGTGGAAAACTGAAAGTTCCAGTTTAGATTTGTGTCAAACTGTACTCTGGTGAATTTAAAAGTAAATACAATTTGGTGTGTTATAAATTAGGTTATAAAATGTAGCAGGGAGAAGTGAGCAAACCTTTTTTTTCTTTATATTTAGATTTGTAATAAATGACACAAACAAATGTGTTGGTTTAGCCTGAGTCGAGTCATCATGGAGGGCAGAGACACCTCATCCATAAAAAAAACAAAAAAAAAAAACGACTAATTCTCGCCTGTGTGTTGATACAGTGGCGTGCCAAAGGTGACTAAAAATGAGTGCAAGAGAAGAAAGACATCAGAGTCATTGCTGTCTCTTTGCAGTTAGATAATAGACTTAAATGATGTCATGTGAAAACCTAAGGAATTTGAGTCATGGCTATAATTTGTTAATGCTGTTTTCCTCATAATCTAATTCTGTAAGTCTTTGAAAGTCTCCAAAGGTCAACTCAAACTTGATTTTGAGCGAAGCAAAGAAATCTGGAGGAGAAAACCAACAAAACCTAACTCCTCGCTGTAGYTTCCAGGTTTTTAAGGAACTCCAACTTTATTCGATGCCTTTACGTTTACCCAAACGCATCGCAAGTTTGCAAACTAAACCGCTGGGAATTCTGCATATTCAACCCTCCTTTTTTTGTATAAAAGACGTGAACAGCTGACGTGAAACTCGATGAGGAAGAATGTTGATGAAATGTAAATTTGCTGGCGCGTACATGATAAGCTGTCCACCAGCTGGGCTTCAACATGGGTGCCCGTACGGTCCATCACAGGGCAAGAGAAAAAGAGACCCTTTGGCCTGAGCGCAAAGCTTCTCCGGCGCAGCTGCAATGACGCATCTTCCAGATGTCGTTCAGAGGCTGACCGCCGTTTGAGACTCGGGGAGAAACTACAGGGGGTGGGGAGGAGTGCGGAGGGGGTCCCACACACTCGTATTTTAACTCAAATTTGTATAAGCTGTCATGGTTGACTGCTAGCCCATTTGTTATTAAAGCTGGTGCTAATGTGGAAAGCAGTTTTTAGGCTGGGTGCAGAGGTAATTTGCGTGGGTAGCACCTCTGTAAACAAGGCCTCCCTGGCAGTCAAAGCTGAGCTGTAAATTAAAAGGCTGGATGCTCTTGGGAAGTGATGAGTGTTTGGCTTAGCGCTGACTCACAATCTAAACTCATAAACAGAGCTAACTGCCTYGTGTCTGCCCTCGCCTGCCATTTTAAGACCCTCGCACCATCTATCTTGATCAGCCCCGCTGCCCTCTTTCTTTTTTTTTTTTTTTAGCCGAGCTACCGGCTCGGCTAAAAAAGCTCGGCATTCTTTACCACTGCAATGTTTTTATCACCCTGGCTGACAAATTGTGGGATGTGATCCATATCTCTCAGCAATTAGTTCCAGGCTGTCTCCATAGGAGGGGACGCTGCCAAGTCTACCTTCACTATAGCCTCCACTGCTGCAGTGTGCTCTGCCACTTTCCATCTGATAACCCCTCAGTTTTAACAGGAGCAGGCAGCAAAGTCATTCCATGAGAGCAGCGTTCGCTCCCTCAGAGGGACCAGGTGGGGAGACGCCGCGAGGGGCGAGATGTGCCGGCAATAGGCCGCAAGTCACTCTAAATCAGCTCTCACAGATGAAGCAAATTACATTCAGCTCCTATTCAGACTGAACTTTTTTAACAGCCTGAGTCCTGAGCTGAAGCTCATCGTCTCCGCCGGCTCCTTTTACCAAATCTGTCACATAGGTCCTCTTTCATTACCAATAAACATTCTCCATGTGGCTATTATAGTTAGTGAAATCTAATAAGGCATGAGCATAGCTTTTTTATGAAGCATGCAAATCAATTTGGTTAAAAAAGTTTCTTTATCTCTGGCTCGTACTGAACGAAAACACAGAGAGACTGAAACGTGAGCGCTACAGAGAGCTGTAAATATGAGTTCAACCTCATGCATTTGTTTAAAAAAGCCAGGTTTGAACATTTAACACATCTCGATTGTTGTGGCATCAATCAAGTTTCAGCACTAAAAGGAGGGGGAAATCCCACCACAGCCGAGCAGTGAAAACCAAACCCAACAGGCAGCTGTATTCCCGCCAGTGTGGGTTTACTTTTCATAAAGGAATAAATAGGATTTGTGTAGATTGTCGGGGAGAAATTGTTGCAATGCATCAGTGTGAATGTTCTAACACTTTCTTATTATTTGAATTTAAATGACTTTGGTACAGTGCTTCTGTACTCCTGATACTTATCAAACTAATCCCACTCTCCTCACAAATTCACACTCCTAGCTACTTTAATTAGCATAGTGCCAGTCTGGAAGGCAGGCAGGGAGGGAATCAGAGGGGAAAGAAGAGAGGAGGAGGAGGATGTGTGAGGCAGGGGGAGGGTATTGCGTGGTATGAGACCGAAGAGGATTTGTATGTTGAAGCCAGTTGCATCACCCCTCTGTGTTTTTATGGCTATGAAGTCAGCAGCACATTTTGTTTTGTCATTATCTMTCGGCTCTTGGTATTCATTTACCGAATGTTGCAAATTGGCTCCTGAAAGGCGTCACACATTCAGGACTTGTCTTTTGGTAAAAGAATTCATGGAGGATTGACTAAACGGGCAATTCTGAAACATAAATGATCCTGTTTAAGAGAAAGAACACGGAGGGGTTTTTCACTGATGTGAGGTGTCACGCCTTTACAATGTCGGTGTGAGCATATGTTATCGCTGATCAGGAAGAAAAGGCCACCTAATCGCTGTAGGGATCAATTCTTTTGACTGAAACTCAAAGGAGGATCGAGACAAATGAAGCGATAAACGCAACCAAACACGACCCAGGGACTGAATTTCTGTGGCCAAACTACATATTTTAGGTTTTTATCTGATCATAGCTTTGAAGTTTGTTCTGATTGTTCTCTTAAACAACACCAGCTCTAATCTTCTCTTCTCTCCGCCTCATCTGTTTTCTCCAGCTGGATTAAACTTGACTTTTCAAGGGTTTACAACTCTCCTCTCCCCCTCCCCACTCCCAAAACTTTCTCCACAGTGTTGCAGAGATGCAGCGCCGTCCAAGCGCGCACTTTATGCAGGGAAACCTTTATTTAGTTCATGGAAAAGGGACTCAGAAAGTGAGCCATGTGCATTCGGACGCACATTTGTAGGTAAACGTGGAGACAGGGAGGAAGCACTGCAGAGAATTAAACCGGATTGGGGGAGAGCAGAGGAGAWTCTCCGTTCCAAGGTGACTTTGTGATCAGGTTCCAGAGCACAGCCTCAAATCCTCAGCTTCAGGCTGTGTGAGATGTGTGCTCGTAATATATGCATGCGCGCGACAGCGTATGTGCACATGTGCAGCACCTCTTGAGTGCATGTTTATCCCTGTCTGTGCTGAGAGTCTGATTGCATTTTCTTAACAAACTTTATGGGATTTAATACATTTAAATTAAAATTTTGGTACAACAAACTTTGTATTCCTAAACTTTCTTTCGTTATTGTTGTGTAGCTGCTTGAATGCCTCGCGAAAGATCTAAAGACCCACAAAAACAAATCCGCCTTTGATGATAATTGATGTATAAAAATGGAAAACTATACATTTAACAAGAAGTCATGTAATTAGTTTCCAATTAAATAAATAAGTTTATAACTATTGAATTAAGTGTATAAAGCTGACTTTTTTATCACGACGGAAACTAAAATGTTACATTAAGGAAATAAAAGCAAAAAATGACAAAAAACTCGAGTGTTGTTGTGTTTGCTGTGATGAGGCGCCTCCTAGAAAGCTCTGATGACAAAGAGAGAAGGAAGTTAAAGTGAGCATGAAAGGAGGGTGGTGTAAGTGGATGAGGTCGGAGGTGAAGTGCCACCCCGTGGGGTGGGGCGACTGGGAGTGTGTGGAGGGGAAGGGGTGTGAGCGCACACCCCACAGCCAGGCAGCTGTTTGTCTGGCCCAGTCGGAGCTTAGTTCAGACCATCGGACCACGCTCCACTACATCCCAATGGTCGCAGTTTCACTGGGCTGCACTTTGCGTTTGTTTAGAAAAAAGAAAGGCAGATTGAAAGGTTCAGCAGCCAAGCCTGAGATAAAGATTTCCTGTTGGTTTTCCACTTGTTCCATCTAGATTTGCCCTTTTCTCATTTGCTGACACTGTYACTGCTTGTTGTATCTTATTTCCTTCCTTGCAAACTGAGCAAACAGCAGAAAGAAAAGTCTTTTTTTAGAGGAACTGTGGGCAAAAAAGAAGCACATTTGAATTAAGATCTCTGTTGAGACTGAGATCCCTTGTAGGGCCTATACGTGTTTTTATGTATGTTTGTGTGTACAAAAAGAGGCAGCCCCCAAAATGCAGAGTATGTCGCTGAGTAAGTCCCCTTGAAAGTGTCCCTCTTTAAGACCTGTTTAAAAGGGACGCCCCCTCTTTGTGTCCACTGTTCTCTGTGGCGTATGGAGGGGCTTTTGTCCCCCTCTTTCATGTGCTCTCACAATGGCCCTGGCCGTTTGAAACACAACAGTAGATGAACTGCGCTGACAGTGTATTAAACTCTGATGAATTGCTTGTGCGAGGCATAGATCAATGTCCTTCAACCCCAAGCACACAGAGAAGCCCAGGCCTTGTCTTGGGTAAATGGAACAGGTTGCTGGCTCTTTTCAAAAGGGCCTGATTATATTCATGTTTTGTTGAAGCAGAAGCCTTTTTAAAATGTGTAAATCTTTGCCGTTCTAAAGAGTCCTGTCCCTCACCCCCTTTTATTCAGGAAAGTGACATTGTGTGCCTGCATATCTTTTTTTTTTTTTTTTTTTTTTTGGGTGCTGCTCACTTTGGGAACTTCCTGCCACGACTCATCTCAACTCTAAATTTAAAACACTTTTTATTCCAGTACAAAAATTGTTTTTAAAGGGGCAATATCATGTAAAATCAACTTTTTTTAGTTTTACATCATGTTATAATGTTATACTCTCATAAAAAAAAAAAAAAAACAAGCCCAAAGCCTTGCTTTGACTCATTCATGCATGTTTGAGAAATCCTGCAGCGTTTTTAGGAAGCCATGCTGAGGAGCAAAACGATAGGTGGGGACCAGAAATACTTTTGGGACGTGTGTTTAAGACAAACTTCCTCATGCCAGAGCACACCCCCTCCCCACACACCCCACCCATGACTCCTGCAGGCTCTCGGTGAAAGTGAAACCTAACTGTCTGCTGAGCTCTCAACATTAGTTCTCACTCAGTGAAGCTCTTTTCAGATTAAAAATACCTTTGAGGAAATGTATTTTCAGATGCCAAGTAAACTGCATCATGGCAGCACCCCCTACCCCCYGCACCGAAGTGGGCGAGACAGAAGCGGAAGGTGGTTCTTAAAGAGACAGAGGCCAATTTCAAGGCGTTTAGAAGAGGAAGTGTTGAGAAGATATGTTTATTTTCTATTTAAACATAAAAACAGCATTTTAATAACAGCAAAATGTGACATAGATACTTTAATATGGTATAGTATTTAAATATATGCCTGAGAAACATAATTTTGGCCCTTTAAAGCTGCAATAACAGCTACGACAATATAGAGGTGTCCAGTTTCAGTGGATATCCAGAAAACCCTGTTTTTTGTTGTTTTTTTGTTCTTCACCAAAATAATTGAGGAGTGTGAAGCCCAGGATAGTGGTCTGTCTGTGACCTTTTAACGACTTCTTCCTTCTGAAGGGGGCTTAGAAAAGCTTGTTTACAGAGATCACAGCTTCAGCCACTTAAAAACAGTTATGGGTCAGTCAACTCCCACGAGGGCTGCTTACTGTCAGCATGGCACTGCATCTCACACCAGGAGAATGATTGGAGTTTCTAGGACTGAGAGGATAAAATAAAACAGTCAAAACCAAGGCCAAAACYCAACTTAATATTAAAAATTTTCTGTTTTTTACTTTCTGCGCAGGTGTGGTTTAGCAACAGAAGGGCTCGGTGGCGCAAGCAGGCCGGCGCCAATCAGCTAGCGGCTTTTAACCACCTTCTTCCCGGAGGATTCCCACCCACAGGGATGCCAACTTTACCCACATACCAGCTACCGGAGTCCAGCTACCCCAGCACCACACTATCACAGGGTAAAAACTGGCTCCGCCTGCAGTCTAATGTCCAAAACACACAGTGTGCTCTGCTGCTCTCCAAGTTTAATCCAATTGCTGTAAAGATTACATTAGAACTGTTTATTTGTGGTATGCCATCCATATTTTATGTACATGCTAATAAAAGTTGTGTGAGTCATGTGCTGCGTATAAAAAACACACACCACAAGTACTTAGCTTTATAATCACATCTTTGTCGCAGTGGAAATGAAAGAGTATTGCATTATGAGCAGAGGGTCACATTGGTGCTTGAAAAAAAAACATTTTTTTTTAGGATTTTTACGAAGGATACTCCTTGACTTATGTTTCACTGAGCTTGTGTCTTTTGATGCCACATCCTGATGATTCTTGTTTAGGCTCATCTTGTTTGGTTGTTTGTTTCAGAGGGCAGCAGCACGTTGCACAGACCCCAGCCCCTGCCTCCATCCTCCATGCACCAGGGAGGACTGAGTGCTGACAGCAGCTCTGCGTACGGCCTGTCATCCAATCGCCACAGCTTCTCCAGCTACTCCGACACCTTCATGAGCCCTTCAGCGTCCAGCAACCACATGAACCCGGTCGGCAACGGGCTCTCCCCGCAGGTCAGACCCACGGGCTCCACGTTTCCGTGCCATTACGACATCAATGCTCCTTCATAGGTGGCGTTAACGTTATCCCCTCCACAGCATCCTCCTCCTCCTCCTCCTCCTCCTTCTCCTCCCACCGCTAAGGATATGTAATTATACTTTACCGAAATTAAATTTTTTCGAAACCGCGTGTTCAGCAAAATAACCACCAGTGTGGGCCTTTATGTTCGCCGTTTCCAAAGCTCTGGATTTATTTTAGCTCCTCCAAATTGCTACATTTGTAAAACAATTGGATTAACATCAACAAATTAAAATTCATCTTGATAGATAGCACCACAAGTGCTCAAGCTGCTCCAAAACAGCGGTTTCTACTTTCCTGGGACATCTAAATCCTGCACAGAGCAGTGAGAACACATGCAGATGAAATAATTAGCTCGAGCTTATAAATGCAGACCCATAATCTTCTTCACGTAATTGTCTGCAGCTAGAAGACTCCAGTGCCTCGTGCGATTTTTTTTTTCTTTTTGCTAATTTTTCTTGCTGATGTCTAGGCAGCTGTGTGTGCAAACTGACAGCTCCTGCTCACTTCACCTACTCTTGTGTTCTCTCGTTATGATAAGTTTTCTCCTCTTAACTCTTCTCCTGCTCTTTTTCGGTCGTGATGCATGAATTGATGTGAAGAAGGATYGTTTGCCTCCTCCTCTGGAAAGATTTCAGTCGCTGTCATCTTTTGAACTCCTCCATTAATGAGCGTTTAAACGCAACTCTGTGGTAAGAGTTGGGATTTAAGTAGCACAGAATAGAAAAAAATGATTTGTATTGATGCAAATCGTGTGTACAGAGTGAATTATACACAATTACCCATCAATACTGGCCAGTCTTGCCCACCCTCACCAACAAGAYGTGGTTAACAGGCAGAAAATAAGATTGAAATGGTGTGTAAAGAGTTGAAAATGAATTTCAATGCTGCATTTGTCCACAATTACCCCGTCGTTCACACATGTTTTATTGGGAGTTTTTTTTTTTTTCAAATATTTCTCAAAGCAGATTGGAAACATTCTTGGTATTACCCTCTTTCTTCAGAGAAGAAAGAATTAAGGATTTTGTGACAAAAAAGAGATTTTCTCTCCTGCTGGAGCGACGGAGGATAACATGGAGGCTCACAGCGTGTTTGATTGTTAATCGTGGCACAGGGGTTTTAACTGCTAATGCTCTCACTGCAAACCTGCAGAAAAAAAAACACACCAGGAACATGGAGGTTTTTTTTATTATTATCATTAATGGGTYTCTCTAATACTGGCATGGGGTGAACTGTCGCGTTCCCCCCACCCCCTGCCCTTGCTTTAGAGGCATTCATGAATGTGTTGGGATATGAAACATTTCCTGTCATAGTGAGGATCAGGACAAGAGATTTTGAACAACTGCACAGTGTGGATTTCCAGCATTCAATTACTCAATCAAACGTGACTGACCAAACTGTTTTTACAAAACCACCTATTATGCACTTTCTTTGTGTCGTATTTTAAGTTTGTTTAATTTTTTTTTCAGTAAAAATGTGTGTTTTAAGCATAGATCATTGACTGCACCAGTATTTATTCGGTTTGAATGCATACAGAATGCTATGTGGCTTTCCTATCAGTTTCTCAGCGTGGAGAAGAGTGTTCCCACTGATAGCAAAATCACAGTTCACTCCCCGGTGCAGCCCCCCRCTGTGCCGGGCAGCCCTTCTCACTCCACAAGCATGAACTCACAACATGGAAAAATTCACACAACAAACTCTCAGGTTCACCTCAGACCTTTTTTTTATTTAACCAAAATGGYAAATTACTGACATTCTACACCTTTTCATACCCTCCCCAGTTTTTCTGCTGTGTTATGGAAAAAAATAAACACTGAAACTCCATCGAGATGAGAACTGAATCTGTTCGCAGGAGATATGCTTGTGCGTTGGTATGTGCGAGCCATTTCTTCAAGTGTCTGGCTTCGATGGCCTTGCAGTTGCTGTAAAGATTTGACAAAAATTCTGTGATTCGCAGCAAATGGGCTGCGATGGTGAGGTGCCAAATCTCTAATGGAATCCCGTGGCGTTCAGCGGTTCCGACAGGAGCTCGCGTCCGTCCCAATCCCATAACCCATCCCGACTGCGCACATTTTCCCATTACAGRCTGTGGGAAAGCCATCCGCACTGCAAACTGGTTGCTGTCATTGTTGGATGTACAACATGTTAGACTGGTTGAGGGAGGCAGTATATTAAGGGGTGGGTGAGAGCGAAGCTGTGCCTGGCTGGGCAGACTGTATGAAAGCAGAAGTGTGTTTTGCTGTTGGTCTTGTTTCATTTAGCAGCTCAGCAGGTGTTCGAGGAAAAGGGAAAGGCAAGGGCATGAAGGGCGAGCATTTCAGTATTTTTCAGCCATTTTTAACTGAACATAAGGTCAGTTCTCCTAAAGAGGTCTTTTAATGTGCATCACTTTTAAATGTTCCAAACTATATAGCCTTYATACTTATTAGTATATGCATTGGACTGACAATTATTTTGTCCGTAATGAGAAGAAAGGCACAATTCAATCAATTGAAAATGCAGGCCAGTAAAAAAGCCATGTAATATGAGGCTCCAACATGATTTTAGATATTTATTATTTCCTAAATCATTTTCTGGTCATATTGGTATGAAAGCATTTAGGCTCGGTTCATTTTTACTGCATGCACGACAGGGACGCTTATCTGGAAAATAAAGCTACACTGACGGAAAAGCTGCACAAGAAGCAGAGCGTCTTCATTTCATTTATATTTTAGTGTTGGTTTTCAGCCATCAAAGTCATTCAAGTTGTAGATTTCTGTTTTGTTTCTTGAAGAGATTTCAACTCTTATAGAATCAGCTTTGGTTCTGAAAATGTTTGTTTTTTTATTGGGTATGTAACAGTGAGGAATAAGAAGCCCAAGAATCAGAATAAAAAGGTATAAAAGGATGTTCAGATGTATTRTAGAATGATCAGGGGGTATGATAGGCTGATCTCTGTTACCCTGATAGATATGGTGGATAYGTTTTTATTGCTGTTTGGATGAAGGAAGTTTTAAAGTTTCATAAGAAACTTATTTTTTTCCCCGTTTTGCAGTTTTGTGAAACTGTTGTGTGTTTTGGAATGACAAGGATGTGTGTGAGTGTGTGTATGTAAGGAGGGCCTTTGGGCTGTGTGAGTGGGCCGGGCCTACACACACACACACACACACACACACACACACACGTACGCGGGATCAGAGGCAGAGCGGCTCTCACCCCTGCCTCCCTTTGATCTGTGTCCCCAGGCCTGCCTGCCTGCCCGCGCGGCGCTGCACCGTACCACGCACGCTGACACCATGCTCACCAGCGACTCCCCACAACTGTCTGAGAGAGATAAGCCAGGGGAGACTCCAAACTGTGCTGCTGCTCTTCCATTAGCTAGCGCAGACGCTTCTTTTTAAAAATGGGATGAATTATTTTTAAGAAGCTAGCTCTGCTGTTGCCAAAAAAAAAATGGAGAGGGGGAAAAAATGTACAGAACAATCTGGGACTCTGGCTTCATTCCTCCTCCCTCCCTGACTTCTAACAAGACATCCTGCACCTGAATACCAATGAGAGGGGGAGATTCATGTAGTCCCCCACATTATTAAAACTTGGGCATTAAGCCTCTCGCCGGGCACTGTGTCAGCTGGCAGCCTCCACTGACAACAAATCAAAGGGGATGAGCACATAGCCTGCATTCACAGCTCAGCCACTCGCAGAGCAAGTGGGGGAATACATACTGGTTAATTAGAACTCCCATTAAAACAAATACTGTTTCAATTTGGCAAGTATAAAAAAAGATGTAAGAGGCTTTAGAAAGAAGAGACCTGCTGTCGGCTGTTGCCAAGAAAATCCAGGGGCTGTAAATCATATCCAATGGCTATACTGTTAGTGAACAGATTATTAGTGTTTGCTGTTGTTTTGCAGCACTTTCGAACTCTGAAGAAAAAAAATTCACCATAAACGTTCCCTTTTTTTTCGACAGATAGTTTCGTTCATTGGCCTTTTGCACGGTGAGTTTGTTTCTGCCACTTGCAGACACAGCTGTAGCTGCTGCAGAGAGTGGAACTGATAATTTAGCTTCTCAGTCTGAAGTAGAAGTTTTCTTTCACGCGGCGTTCCGAGATCAGAGCTGCGGCTTGAAACGCATAGGCCTCCTCTGGTGGCGCTGCCGTTTCCAAGCGTCTGCGCACCTGAGCCATTTGTTGCTCCGTCTTTTGAGTCTCCTGAGCCGCAGAGTGCTGCCATTTTCTTTTTTCCGTTCCAAAATATTTTTGGTTGGCTCTGGGTGTATTCGCAATCTATTTTTCCCCCCTCACCTATCAACCTTGCTTCCCTCCGCTTGGCTTTTTGTCATCCAACGACGCCTTGCCAATGGTGCTTCGCGTTCTCTCCCTCTCCCCACCTTCCCTCTCCTGCTTTCTCCCCTGGAGAGGCAGCTCTTCTCCCTGCGCCCAGATGAAAGGCTACGGCGGACAATAAAAATGCTATTTAAATGCAAGGGTGTTTGTGTGCGGGTGAGAGATATTTCCCCGCTGAAAGTGAGCTGCTGCATCCTGATAAATAGTAAATATAAGGGAATGTGATTTACATTTATCTTGCAGAGGCAGCCAATATGAATTTCAGTAAATCCTAGAAGATGGGGATTTAAGGAGGAAAATGACTGCGACTGATTCACACGCTGTGTGTCCCACGCAGCTGAAATGCCTATAAGGTGGAGACTGCCACTGCTTTTATTAAAGTATGAGCACAGACATCGATCCTATCGAAATAAAACACTTATTACACATGAGCATACACTGTGTCGCTAGCTCATCTCTGGAGATTTCCAGCTTCATGCACGCAACATGAAGGTGATTATAATGTTAATAATAATTATAACAGTAATGTTTCTGTGGAAGCTGCTGGACAGGTTGCATGTCTCATCTCCTCGGGGACTGGGGTCAGGGTGGGGTTTTAAGGGTTATGGGACGGC